ATCTAGTGTGGATCCAGATCTAACCAATCGAGCTGCTTTGAAGAGGGCTACGTGAAATTTCTAATTACTAAAACACTTGCTAAATCAGATGAATAAAAGCTGAACAAAAACAGGAAGAAAGCTAGTTTCTATCATTTTCAAATACTGAGCCCAAAATTGCAGATCCTTGACTTGGCAATGAGATTTTAGAGGGAAAGCATAAACCATCTATGTGATAAAATTGTATACAAACAACATAAAAGTAAGTAAGGAATTAAAAATACGATAGAACTTACAAATAGAATAGATAACACCAGATACTCTATGTGACCCTGAGAGAAGGCCAGGTAGTTCGAATCTGCAAACATATAAAATATATGTCATAAAAATATAACTATATGTTAGGTCAATTGAATAGTAAAACAAAACAGTCTTGTAATAAAGTTATCTAGACTTGATAACAGGCTATACTCCAAACGCTGTTTTCAAAATTTGCTATTATTTTCCTAATATAATTTTACTTCAATTTCAAGTTATGTTGTCTACCGAAATGCTGGCAAACTTACATATCTGCTCTTGAAAGCTGGCAAACAGACAATGATGATTTAAGGCTATTTCAAACAAGAATTTCTGATGGTGTAGACTGGCATTATCATTACCTTCGTCTACAGAAAAATTAAGCAATAAAAAATTAGCAAATTAATACATGGCTACATTTTATTGTCATCTTTTAACAAAATAAATAAGAACTATGGTCACAGAATATATAGTCATTGTTTTGGTAAAAGTGATATGGAACTATAATTCCCTTTGAATTTATTGGTAAAAAACTGTAAGACAAACTTGTATATGAGGACATGAGGTGACACTGGTCGATCCATTCTCTCGTTTTTCTTCCAGAAGTCTTCACCTGGCCTCATCTTTCTATCTGCTGCAGTTGTATTGCTGGCTAAAGCTGCTAGCATTGGTGTACTATTGTTAAAATGATAGAGAACCAATAGTTTTCCAAATGAGGGCACAAGTAAGTAACTGAATGGTTGGCATGAATGTTAAAGATAACAAAAAATAGCTTTATCAAAAAATAATCACATTCAGATCCATAAATACAAATTTTCCCCAAGTCTTCTTAGCTTAAAAGAATTATAATATGATTATCACTAGAATTTCATGATAAATCACATAATTCTGGGCAGAACAAATCACATAATTCCGAGCAGAACAATAGACAAGCTAAGTACAAAATAATTAGACCAAAAGCTTTTCACACAAAAATTTCATTTGATAAACTATTGACAATGGACACTGTTTTCAAAATTGTGACATAATTCTTTCTACAAAAAAATGTTACGCTTAAATAAATGACATTTCATTTTTGCTTTTCACTTACAGAAAAATTAATCTCACTGTGACGGAGTCACTGAGTGCCACGAAGACACGTGATGAAAACTAACTTAATTTTTAGAAACATTACGTATGCGGTTGTTTTGTTTAAGACTTCCTTTGTTTATTCCTTGCTGACATTGCTTTGTAATTATAATTCATGGTATGATTAGTATGCGTAGAAATTTCTGGAACGTTCGATGGTAATCTCGCAAGTATGATGTAATCACGGTAGGTATTTTTGTAAAGTTACGTAATAATAAGTAGGAGTATAAATAGAGGCTGTGTGCCCGTGAAGGGGAATTCTTTTCTTAGTGGTGGTTAGAGAGTAGAGTTGTAATGATTTTAGTGATTATATCGGCGTGGTAAAATTAAAAAGGTCTATTTCTTGCTTCGTGGACTGTTCATGTAGTTGTTGCGTTCGAAGCAATATTGAGTTCACGACATTTTGGTACCAGAAGTGGGGTCATTTATCGCCGAGGAAAAATACTTCGGTAGGCGAGGATCACGTAAGTGGAGTAAAAACTGTTTAATTTGGTTTGAAATACTGTAGTGTGTTGGAATAGTACCATGGCAGCCGAAGGAAGACGAGGGAAAAGGCAGGAAGAAGCCCAGCATACAAGCGAAGAACGAGGGGAAAGTGGAGCAGTTTTAGAAATACTTAAATGGATGACAGAAAAAGAAGAAAAAGAGCGCCTCTATAGAGAGGAGCAGGATCGAAAGAGAGACGAGCAGTTTATGCAACTAATAGCCACACTTGGAAAAAAGCAATCCGACATAGAAGAGCAAGTAAAAGCACAAGAGGCGCAGCGAAAACAAGAGGAGAAGGCCCAGTTGGAGAAAATTATTCGTCTTCAGAATGAAGAGCGGGAAGCCAGAGAGCGAGAAAGGGAGAGAGAAATTAAAGCAATAGAACTGGAAAAGGTAAATCGTGAGCGAGAGAAAGAGGAAAGGCTGGCCAGAGAGGAGGAAAGAAGACTTGCGTGGGAAGCTCAAGCTGACAACGAGAGAAGGCAATTTTTAGAGAAATTCGCAGAACTCAGTTTATCCAGCCAGGGACAAGAACCAATGATAAACCTCGGGAAGCCTGCTCTTAAAAAGCTCTGTGAAGATGACGATATAGAGCATTTTCTCACCACATTCGAGCGTGTAGCGGAAACATATGGATGGAAAGCAGAGGTTTGGTCGGTGAAATTAGCACCATTGCTCTCTGGAAAAGCACAAGCCGCGTATGCCAACATGGACCCAGAGAAGTCTCGCATTTACGAAGAAGTGAAAAAAGCCATTTTGAGGAGGTACGATATTAATGAAGAAACCTATCGTCAGAGATTTCGAGCCACAAGGAAAAGGAACGAGGAGAGTTGCACTGAACTGGAGGTGAAACTACGTGATCTATACTGCAAGTGGGTACATCCCTCTACAAGTACAAAGGAGCAGATTTCCAATGCTATCATAATGGAGCAGCTACTAAGTTCTCTGCCATTAGAGCTACAAATTTGGATCAGAGAGCGAAAGCCTACAACATCAGAAGAAGCTGCCATATTGGCTGACGATTACCTGTTAGCACGAAAGGCCACAATCAGGGGACAGGGTACCCAAGAAATTAGATGTCATGGTTGTAAAAAGACTGGCCATATTTTAAAGAACTGCCCTGTACCAAAACAAGCAGATACGACGACAGCAGTAGGCAAAAGAAAGCCTGAAAACGATACAATACAACATACACCTACAAGGAGCTCGATAATTCAGTGTTTTAAGTGCGGGAGACCAGGACACATTGCTCTGCATTGTCCGTCAAATCAGGCCCACAACAACAACAACAGAGGGAGACATACGGGATATTATGTTAAACATAAAGACAAGTTGATCAGATCAGCACAATCATTTGACTTTGGAGAGCATTCAGTTGGTAAAATTCTAAAGGCTTTCAGCTGCAGAGGGGAAATAGAAGGGAGACCGGTAGAAATTCTTGTCGACACTGGCTGTTCAAGGACACTTGTGCACAAAGACTTGATACCAGAAGGCAAAGTCAATGAGGAAACCAGAGTTGATATACAATGCGCACATGGTGATTATGTCAGCTACCCGACTGCCGAAGTTAGCATAAAGATTCAAGACAAAGTGTTCTTGCAAAGGGTTGTGGTGTCTCCGAATCTTCCAAGACCGGTTCTGTTAGGCATGGACATAGTAAATGATGAGAAGTTTGAGAGGGATGAAATTGAAGCTTTTATAGTAGTGACCAGAGCACAGGAAAAAGCACGGGAACAAGAAGAGGCGATACAGTTGGCCAGGGAGATCTGCTCGGGTGCAAAAGCGCGGGCTTTAAGCGACGCTAGCGGAGAAGGCAATCAATCAGAGGAAACTTCAGATGTAAATTACGAGATAAATTCTTCAACTGGAGATGTGGATAGAGACGACAATACCGAGGGGACAGTTGAATCGTTGTCTGGGTCAAAAGAAGTACAGACGGCGGAAACAGCAAAGATAAATACAAATGACGAAAATGAAGGAAGTTTAGAGATGAACAATTTCAGTTGGAGCGCCGCAGAGATAAGAGAAATGCAGGGGAATGACACAACATTGGATAAATGTAAGGAGTATGCGCAGTTGAAGTCATCATTAAATGGCAAGGTGAGGTTTATAGAGAGGGAAGGCATATTATATCGCCAATGGTGCCCAGATGGAAATTTTGAGGATTCTCGCGTAATAGAGCAGCTTGTATTGCCATATCAATGCCGCAAGACAGTGCTACAGCTGGCCCACGATATCCCTCTGGCTGGCCACCTTGGACGGAAGAAAACTACAGCAAGAATATTGCAAATATTTTATTGGCCCAGGATGTTCCACGATGTTGCTGAGTACTGCAGATCATGTGAAATTTGCCAGCGGACATCTCCAAGAAGAAAGAGTAATCGTGCCAAGTTGGTACCGTTGCCTATCGTTGATACTCCCTTCAAAAGGATTGCAATGGATATTGTTGGCCCATTAGAGAGAAGTGCTGCAGGACACAAGTATATTTTAGTTATTTGTGACTATGCAACAAGATACCCGGAGGCAGTTCCACTTAGAAGCATAGATGCGGAGAGTGTGGCAGAGGAACTGGTAAAGCTTATAAGTCGTTTTGGTGTTCCTGAAGAGATCCTGACTGATCAAGGTTCGAATTTTATGTCAAAGCTGTTGCAGGAGGTTTACAAGATGATCGGTGTCAAATCTATTCGAACCAGTCCCTACCATCCAGAGACAGACGGGCTTTGTGAACGATTCAACGGAACGCTTAAGAACATGCTGAGGAAAGCTGCTACAAACGATTACCCGAATTGGGACAAAATGCTACCTTATCTGCTTTTTGCATATCACGAGGTACCAGGAGAGTCAACAGGGTTCTCACCATTTGAGCTTCTTTATGGTCGACAAGTTCGGGGGCCACTGGACATACTGAAAGAGACGTGGGAGTCAAACGAAAAGGTACCAGAGGACGTAGTTAGCTACGTGTTGAAGATGAGAGAAAACCTTTCAAAAATGATGGAGATAGTACAGGAAAATTTAAGCACAGCCCAACGAAAGCAGAAGACCTGGTATGACAAGAAATCAAGGGTCAGAATCTTCAAAGAGGGAGATGAAGTATTTGTATTGCTGCCAACAAGTACAAACAAGTTACAAGCACAGTGGCTAGGACCGTACAAAGTGAAGAGACAAGTTGACTACCGAGATAGATATGGCCAACAGGTAGACTACGAGATAGATATGGCCAACAGGAGAAGAAGATTTCGGATATTTCATGTCAATATGTTGAGTCCAAAACATACGGCTGTGGACGTGAGTTACTGGATTGCAGAGAGGGAAAATAGCTCAGAAGATCAAGAGGAGAATGACTTAGTGGTACCTTCTATAAACAACGAATTTTCTAAAGATGGCTGGGAAGCAGTAAAAATTGAGGAAGATCTTAGTGACAGCCAATCAAGAACATTGCATGTCCTACTACAAAGATTCGCAACCGTTTTGAAAGACTCCCCTGGAAAAACAACAGTAGAAGAACACCAGATTCACACAGGAGATGCAAAACCAGTTAGGAAGAGGCCGTATCGTCTGCCACAGTCACAGTATGAGAAAATCAAGACGGAAATCGAAAAAATGGAAGAGATGGGAATCATCCAGCCTTCAAATAGTGAATGGGCAGCTCCAGTAGTGATTGTTCCAAAAAAAGATGGATCGCTGAGAATATGTATTGATTATAGAGAATTGAACAAGGTGTCTTCATTTGATGCATACCCGATGCCGCGGGTTGATGAAATTCTTGACAGGCTTGGCAATTCAAGGTACATCTCCACCCTGGATCTTACAAGAGGATATTGGCAAGTCCCATTAAGTCCTGATGCAGTACCAAAGACAGCATTCACAACACCTTTTGGTTTATTTGAATTTCGAGTTATGCCTATGGGATTACACGGAGCTCCTGCTACTTTTCAGAGGATGATGGACAAGATACTTAAAGGAATGGAAAAATGTGCAGCAGCATTTTTAGATGACGTCATAGTATTCAGTGCTACATGGGAGGACCACTTAAAACATTTGGAGGAGATATTGACGCGTATCAGTAAAGCGGGGCTCACAGCAAATCCAAAGAAATGCTCATTGGCAATGAACGAGGCGCATTATCTGGGACATATTGTTGGAAATGGCAAAGTTCGACCAGAAGCTGACAAAGTGAAAGCGGTCAGAGACTTTTTGAGACCAGAAAGCAAAAAGCAAGTGCGCTCATTTCTTGGTTTAACGGGATATTACCGAAAATTCATACCCAGTTATGCAAACATCGCAGCCCCATTAACGGACCTCACTAAAAAGGAAGTAAAAGGTACTATTCAATGGACAGATGATTGTGAAAACGCATTCAGAAGACTTAAAAAGGCTCTACGTTCATCACCAGTCTTGAGAAGCCCTGACTACAGCAAAGAGTTTTTACTACAGACGGATGCATCAGATAGAGGACTTGGAGCAGTTCTTAGTCAAATTGGAGATGACAATGAAGAACACCCCGTAATGTATCTTAGCCGCAAGTTACTTGATCGAGAGAGACGCTATGCTGTTGTAGAGAAAGAGTGTTTGGCTATCGTATGGGCAATACAGCAGTTGCGAGTTTATCTATATGGCCGGAAGTTTTCAATTCAGACAGACCATAATGCATTAAAATGGTTGGACCAGATGAAAGAGAAGAACAGCAGGCTAACTAGATGGAGTTTGGCATTACAGATGTATAACTACAGAGTAGAGTATCGGAGAGGACAGGATAACTCAAATGCGGACACATTATCAAGGATTTGAACACGTTGTAAAAAGACAGTCAAAAATGTACCATTTTTGTCTACCGAAGGAGGGGGAAATGTGACGGAGTCACTGAGTGCCACGAAGACACGTGATGAAAACTAACTTAATTTTTAGAAACATTACGTATGCGGTTGTTTTGTTTAAGACTTCCTTTGTTTATTCCTTGCTGACATTGCTTTGTAATTATAATTCATGGTATGATTAGTATGCGTAGAAATTTCTGGAACGTTCGATGGTAATCTCGCAAGTATGATGTAATCACGGTAGGTATTTTTGTAAAGTTACGTAATAATAAGTAGGAGTATAAATAGAGGCTGTGTGCCCGTGAAGGGGAATTCTTTTCTTAGTGGTGGTTAGAGAGTAGAGTTGTAATGATTTTAGTGATTATATCGGCGTGGTAAAATTAAAAAGGTCTATTTCTTGCTTCGTGGACTGTTCATGTAGTTGTTGCGTTCAAAGCAATATTGAGTTCACGACA